TTGGGGGTCCATAGGTAGGCCCAATTAAGATGTGTATTCTATACCGAGCCGAAATGGTTGGCTCCATACTGCTATTATTGAGGGATGTGACATTCAGTTGATGTTGAACTACGAAGAGTTATGATTCATTGGTTTTATGCACAAATAGTGCGGTTCTATTTGAGCTTTATAGCAAAATTTGAGTGAGATGAGTATTTGGGTATTGCATGATCGATAGCATAATGGTTATGTCCTTTCAGGTTTTGTGTGGTATTTTTGTCATTTTCCTATCCGTTGTTATTAATTTGGAGCAGGGTGGCTCGTAGTTTATAATATGAACCTCATGTTAGAATCGGGTGACGGTTCTACGGTGTATGATGAATTTTCAGCATTTCGTTGTGGAGGTACTTGTTAATCTGGCAGGGCAGTTCTCTCATTTGAGTCATTTTCCATGACTGGGTACATTTGAATTATTGCGTATTAGTGCACGGATGGCACGAGTTGTGCCTCCGAGTTATATTGGTGCGGTATGTCTGTGGAACAATTATGTTGAGTAATATAAGGTCATTGGACCTGGAATGGGTACTATCAGGTTTAATTTTGGTATATTCGGGAGTATAATATTGAAATCTGGCTCAGAAAGTGATTATTGTTTCGGTTGGGGCGAGAGATCTCCATGACTTGTTGGTTTGATAAAGGGTTATGAGATACTGCGTGTTTCTTTTATTATCAACAGTGTACGAAGGTTTTGGGATGAGGTTTGGTTCGATATGGGTTTAATACTAGTATGCGGTTGGTTTTGGAGTAGTCACTGCGATCAGGAATGGTGCTACGAGTATGCGAGTTGTGTATTATGTTGGTTGATTATATCCGTGATTATAGTTATAGCTCGATGCAACTTGTCTGGACTTATATGGTGTGTAAATGTAAGAGATGTGTCTTGAAAGAGATTTTAAAGGTTGTAAATTAAACTCCAAGGTTTATGGACTAAGGTTAAATTAATGATTTTCAGTTGCATTGTGTAGTCAAGCCTTATGTGGGATAGGGTGACGTGGGTTCACCCCCGGGTACGTGTGTGGTAAGATGGAACAGTGATTTGATGGCTTGGAAACAACTCTTGGCATGTTTGAGGACGAACGTATGTTTAAGTGTGGCAGAATGTAACAACCCGGCCGGTCATTTTGAGTATTACAACCCTTTTCCCCTTTTACTTCTCAAATTGTACTTTACAGTTATTGTGCGAATTGCCGGGGTAATTGGTTAGGGTCCAGTGAGGTTTTTGAAGGAATTAGAACACTTAGTTCCAAGGTTTAAAGCTTAAGTTAAAATAGTGATCGGATATCGACTTATATGTAAACGACTTCGGAATTTAATTCTGATGATTTCAATAGCTCCGTATGGTGATTTTGGACTTAGGAGCGTGTCCGAAAAATTATTTGGAGGTCCGTAGTGGAATTAGGCTTGAAATGCCGAAAGTTGAATTTTTGGGAAGTTTGACCTGGGGGTTGACTTTTTGATATCGGGGTCAGAATATAATTCTGAAAATTTGAATACTTCCGTTATGTCATTTATGACTTGCGTGCAAAATTTGAGGTCAATCGGACGTGAATTGATAGGTTACGGAGTCGTTTGTAGAAATTAGAAATTTCAAAGTTCATTAAGCATGAATTGGGGTGTAATTCATGATTTTGGCGTTGTTTTAGGTGATTTGAAGATTCGACTAAGTTCGTATGATATTTTAGGACTTGTTGGTATACTTGGTTGAGGTCCTGAGGGGCTCGGGTGAGTTTCGGATGGTTAACGGGTTGGATTTTTGGACATGGAACTCTGCTGGAATTTTTCTAATGCACCATCTGGTTTCCTTCATCGCGTTCGCGAGTGGAGCCTCGCGTTCGCGAAGAAGAATTTCAGGCAGGCAGGATTTACTCTTCGCGTTCGCGAGGTGGTCTCGCGTTCGCAAAGAAGAGCTGGGTTGTGCATCGCGTTCGCGAAGGGGAGCTCGCGTAGTTTATGTTCAGAAAATGGGACTCCATTTTAAACGATTTGGAGCTCAGATTGAGGCGATGTTTGGGCGATTTTCATAGAAAACAACGGGGTAAGTATTTTTAACTCAATATTGGTTAAATTACCCGAATCCATGGTTGTTTTTATCATTTAATTGGTGAATTAAGTTAGAAAAGTTTGAAAACCCTCTTAGTTTAAATTGAGGATGTGAAGGCCGAGTTGTGATCGGATTTGAGTAATTTTAGTATAGTTGGACTCATGGTTGAATGGGAGTTCGGATTTTGTGATTTTTACTGAATTCCGAGACGTGAGCCCCACAGGTGATTTTTGGGGAGCAATTTCGGATTTTTGGAAAATATTAGTATTTTGATATGGAATTAATTCCTATAATTTTTGTGGGCTGAATCAAATTATTTTGACTAGATTCGAGCCGTTTGAAAGTTGATACGCGCATAATGGGATTTTTGGAGCATTGTTTAGCTTGCTCGGCGTTGGATTTGGCTTGTTTGAGGTAAGTAACTCTTCTAATCTTGGAGTTGAGGGTATGAACCCTGAATATATGTATTTTGTGAATTTTGGGAGGTGACGCACATGCTAGGTGACAAGCGTGTGGGCGTGCACTATAGAAATTATGACATAATTGTTTCTGTGGAATTTTATAGTTAAATAATATTGGCATTTTCCATGCGGTTTTATGTGTTAAACAAATTGAGCTGAAAAGCATATTAAAAATCATGTTGAGGCTATGTGCTAGTATTATTGGGACCCTCAGAAATCATATTGCTGTGAATTATTGTGTTAAATTGAAAATTCATACTTAGTCATATTCATTTCATTGCATATCATAACTCAGTTTTATGACTCTATTTTGATGCATATAAATGGTTTGGGCAGAATGCCCTGTTTTACTGAAATGCCCGAGTGGCTTGAGAGGTTTATGGCTGAGTGAGGCCAAGGGCCTGATTTATGTTACATATTTATAGGATCGGGCTGCACGCCACAGCATGTTTGATATCGGCCGAGGGCCTGATTGTGAGAATGAGTGTGGATCGGGGTTTCCCACCTGCAACATACTTTATTATTATAGCGCGTGAGTTGTCCATGCAGATTATAGCGCTTGGGCTAAAGGAGCCCCTCCGGACTCTGTACACACCCCCAGTGAGCGCAAGTAACTACTGAGTGCGAGTGCTGAGTGACTGGGAGGCATGAGTGATTGTGAGGTATGCCCGAGTGGTACGAGTGACTTCGAGGTTTGCTCGAGGGGATGTATATAAGTGATGTTCTGCCCGAGGGGCTGTTTATGATTTTATCACTAAGTTGCATCGCATTGGCATGCACACATGACATACATGCATAGAGATGTATTTTCTCGTGATGTACTAAATCACATCATTCATGATTTCTCACAAATTTTGACAGATGGGCATAGTGATACATTTGTTTTACACGGGTTATCCGGAAGAAAAATGAAATATATTATTTATTATTGAAAATATTTTTGGAGAAATTATTGTTTTTAAACTATTCATATTATAGGCAACTTCGGCAAACGATTTGGGTTTTCACTGATGTATTTGAAAGAAAGAACTATTATTTTTGAAATCATTATTTGGCTGAGTATTTTATCCCTGAGTTACTTCTGGTTTTTTTTGCTTTATGTTGTCATGGATTGTTGTGGACTATTGGTATTGGACCCGACCTTGGTGAAAACTCGTCACTACTTTCAACCTACGGCTAGGTTTGTTACTTACTCAGTACATGAGGTCGGTTGTACTGATACTACACTTATGCACATTGCATGCAGATGTTGGTTGTTGTTGTTGCTGTGCTCGATGGTTGCGGGATTTGAAGATGTACCTGCGTTCCTGCTGTAGCTGCCTCTTGTTCAGGGTAGCCTTAGATTTATAAAAGCTCTGTTTATGTATTATTCAAACAGACTATGTATTTATTTCATTTCAATCTTAGAAACTCATGATTTGTACTACCAGTTCTTGGGGATTGTATAAGATTAGGATCTTTATTCACTTAAATTGCTTTAATAATTATTATTGAAATTTGTTAGTTGAAAATTGGCTTACCTAACGGGATGGGTTAAGTGTCATCACGACTAGTTGAATTTTGGGTTGTGACAACATGTTTACCCAAAATTTATATTGAAAATCTACTTCACAATACTTGATATTTTGATAATTGAGTGATAAAAAAGAAGAGAGATGACATCTCAACTAACTAACCATGAGGAAAACTAATTTCAGTATATGATCTTAATTTAATACAAGAACATAACAATGTTGATAGATATTGTCTTGTCATTATTAAGAGTACCGAATTGTCAATAACAAGCAGCACGTATCGTGGACTAAATCGTAGTACTAGCATTTTGTCTTGGATTGTGCACATGTTCATGTTTTTTGCTAGTTTTCTTACGAGACTCATCACATTAACTAGATCCACATCTAGGATCTTCAGTAAATAGATCAGTACATGTGATATATATGCGTATAAATATTTTTTTATTATATAGTTCAAACGGTAAATAATGAATTCTGTTAAACTCTAACTATCCTAAATCAGCCTCTACATTGAAGAAATCAAAGATCGTCCATGTTCGGGACTCATTTGCTCATACTAGGAGATTATGCCCTGCCAAATGGTGATTCTGGTAGTGAGAAAGTAACAACATAGATATGTTTACGAAGTCAAGAGCCACTCATCTGAGCAGCGGATTCGAATTCTGCTATGCCGGTGCTCAAAGCAAGGACGCAACGACTGCGTAAATCTTTATTTAATAAAAAAAAGAAAGGAAGACTTTTGAATCTTGTGATATAAAACAAGCTATAAATACTTGTGCAGCTGTAAATTATTTCATCAAAAGTAAAATTAAATTTTTTAAAATTAAGTTATTTCTAAATAAAAAAGTATTTATTTCTTTTTTGGACAGACTAAAAAGGAAAGTATGACACATAAATTGGGACGAAGTAGCAAATTCCTAACTTAATTTCTAGACAAATGCAAAATTAATTCTGAAAAAAGGAATTATTCATCTAATGATCCAGCTTACAATATTAAAACTTATACAGGAATATGGATATTTTTCACCAGTTTTCAGTGATTGACAATAACCACTCCCCTAACTCATAAATAAAACAACATTAAAAATAAAAATAAAAAGACAAATATTGTCTATACAAAAAAAAAATGGAATTAATGACTAAACATCAAAATTATCATGATTTGCGTGATAATCCAAAGCCATTAGCCAATGCATGAACTGCAGGATTAAAAGCCAATTGTCCCAAAATCCCTTGTTTATATGGCAAGAAAGTTCTCTTTTTCAAATCAGATGAAACTGCTCTATTCACTGTATAATGCAATTCATGAGCTGAAACTTGTCCTTTTTTCCTTCTTGTTGTAACAATAGCTTTAGATGAAGAAGAAATAGGACTATCATTTCCCTTAAAACTTGAGTTTTTTCCTGCTTTATAAGCTGCAGTATATTTCTTTAGTGGATCTTTATCTGATGCTCTTCCTTCTGATGCACTCCTAAATAAGAAAAAATCTTTAAATCTCCATTTTCTGCTTCCTTTATTAGAAAATGATGAAGTCAAAGCTGAACACGCAGAATTAGATCTTCGCTTTCTTTCTTCTTCTTCCTCTTCTTCTTCTTGTTCTTCCCATTGATATTGAGAAATTCTCATAGGAGAAAGTGATCTTGTTTCTCTTCTACTTGAAGAAGATGACATACTCCCATTTGATGAAACTCTCTGTTTTGCCCTACTTTCCCTTTCTGTTGTACTACTTTTTCTTGTATTTTTTTCAGCAGAAATAACAAAAGGGTGTTCAGTTTCTTGTTTTTTGTTTCTTGTTTGAGTTTGTGAAATATGGGATGGTTTTAAAGGCTTGATCATACCACCAACAAACAATTCTTCAGCTGAAACAGAACTTTTTTCCAATTCTTGACTAATATCAAAAGCAAAGTCATCTCCACTAACATGGCTGGAAATTTCAACATTATTATCAGCTAAGAACAAACTGTTGAATTCACGATAAAATTGAGAGAGATGAGAAGGACTAGGAGGAGCACTAAAGTAATAATCACCATTGAAGGGTTTTGGTGTAGAAGGTGGACTAGTAAATGGTGATGATCTTGCACTGAACTCGAAATTATCCATTTCATTATAGGGTATCGCTACTTCCATTTTTCTTTTGCTGGTTTCTGTTAAATGAAAGCTTAGCAGAAACAGAAGAAAATGGTGTTTTTAAGATGTTTATATAAGGAAAGGGAGAAGCCAAGATTTTGTAAAGAGCAAAGGAAGGAGGAGAGCTAAATATTATTGACTTATGTGGGGCTATGAGTTTAAATTCTAATTAAGCAAGCCGCCTTTTATTACCTTTCTATAAAAAAAAATTGTCATGGTTTTTTATGGACAAATGACATATTGATTTTGGACACAATGTATATAATGACCCACAATTATATAAATTTTGGATTGTCCTTCAAGTAAAAGTTAAAGATATTTGGAAAATGACATGAAGAATTACAAGTGTAATGTAATTGAAGAGGGTAGAGTCATGCGTAATGAGCTTCATCATCTTAGGTTGATCATTTACATATATTTTGTAATTGCAAATAAAGCCCCTCTAGTTTCCAAAATTATATATACATCCTTGTGGATATTTCGTAAGGCGTTTGGATATAAATTTTGTTGAAACTTAAAAATACGTATTTTTGAAGTTATGTTGAATAATAGTTTTGCAAGTTGAAATTTTGTGAGTGGAAAAAAATTTTCCATCCAAAAACTAGTCCAAACTAGTTCTGCGAACTTAAAAAAATTTCTTTAATTATTTTTCAAAAATTGATGAAGTTCCATGAACAAACATTGTTTGCAAAGAAAAAAAAATGTGTCCAAAAAGGGAGCTTCATATTGCATGAAGTAATTTTTTTTAAAAAAAGGTAGATTGATACATAAGGCATCTTGTATTTATGCGGGATCTGAGGAAGGACCGCATCCTAAGAGATATGATGTAAATAATCTATCATAATACAAGTATTAGTGGTATTCATTATTAAAAAAATTTATCGTTGCTCCAAGTATCTCCTTCTCGTATGAAATATCAATATGAAGTCATTGATTTCTGGCCAAGTAATCTGTTTCTAGAAAAAACAAAGAGTTAAAGAAGTGTGAAAGGAAAATAGTATTCCTAGAGGACCTAGACATTAATGAAGAACATTCTATTCTTTTCTTTTTCTTAAACGTTATTTCCAAGAAAAATTAGTGCCTTCTTGATTATTTAAAGTGACAATTATTTTTCGAATTTATTTTTTTGCTAAAGCAACAGATGAAAAGGATCGGAAGGAGTATGATGTTCCACAAAGAAGGGGATTGAAATTGTGTATTTTTAAGAAATCGAAGGGGAAGTTATGTGAATTTTGCAGATAAGAGGTAGTTTGTACTAAAATAAATGGAGTTTGGGGTTCTAGTAATCTAGAACATTTCGAACATTGTAGTAGGTCGGATGATGTGAAGACAAATCGTAAGTAAGATTATTAATAGAATAATAAGAGATAGGATTTTCATTATATTTTATAAAATAAACGTGGGAAGCAAGATTATTAGTTGTAATAAGAATAGGAAAGAGAGGCTTTAATATTACTGCTTCTTAGTCATGAATAAAAAGGTATTCTGCCTTTTAGACAATCATGGCTCTCTTTTGACTATATGTTATTTTGGTTGAAGATTTGCAAACAAATGGAAAGCTGAATCACTATTCGAATAATTAGTCAAATATGTTGCTTTTATTAAATTTGGAATAAATTTTATGGGTGATCGTTCAACTTTGTGTTCATCATGCAATAGTTATTTTTTTTCTTTTTGTTACATAAAAATCATTCAACTTTGTGTTCATTATCCAAAAGTCATTTTTCTTTCATTTGTTACACAAAAATTATTTTGCTTTACTCTATTTATCACAAAAGTTACATTGGCCAAATTTTATAATACTTTTTATTTGAAAAGTCTATTATGTCCTTGACATTATAAATCCTCTCATTTATGTAATACCTTCTATGTGGAGTACATACTATATAATATATTTTTATATAGGTATTTTACTTATAATTAAAATAAATTTAAATTATTTTATTTATTATTTTTATAATATATCAATACATTTTATTTTTTTAAGGCACTCAATTTATTTAATCATATTTAAACATGAACATATTTTAAATATAAAAATGATAAAAAATATTTATTTTAAATAATAAAAATAGATTTGTTACACAAAGTGATTATTGTGATAACTAGAGTATAGTAAAATAATTTTTGTGTAACAAAAGAAAGAGAAGTGAATTTTGGGTAATGAACACAAAGTTGAATGACTTTTACGTAACAAAAGAAAGAAAAATGACTTTTGAGCAATGAACACAAAGTTGAATGACCTCCCATGAAATTTACTCTTAAACCTCTAACCATGATTATGAAAATTAGCGTGAAATAACTACGAAACTAATTAGAGAAGTTAATTACTCCATTCGTTCACTTTTACTTATCTAGTATTATAAGAATAGATTTTTATTTTTCCTTGTCACTTTTAGCATATCAAGAGAAGACAATTTCTTTTTTCATATTATACCCACGGTATTAATTACCCATTTTAAGTTATTTTCTCAAATCCATTAAAAATATACATCAATTAATATGGATATCATGGTAAACAATACACTTTATTTATTATTTCTTAAGGGGTATAAAATGTCCATAGCGGACAAGTAAAAATGAAGAGAGAGAGTACCAAAAGTCAAACTAATTCTAGATTGAAATTCCTAATTTTCTCTTCAACCATCCTTACCAGCTCACCTACAAGACAAAATATCCCTTCTAAAATGTGTATTTTCTCATTTATCCATTCGCTGTTCTTGGAAATATACGACCCCTACAGCTGTTATTTTACTTTTACATTTAATTAAATGTCCAAAATGTGTGGTTTAATATGAGGTTGTTAATGACTAATTGATAACTTCTAGATATGCTTTATGGTTAGTAGTATGAGATTTGTTGGCTCAAGTCACAATATTGACTAAAAAATAAAAAATAAAAAAGCTATAATATTGACTGGTTTTGAGGCTGGCAAATTATATAGCCCCAGATGGACCCCAAAATATAACCTACTACAATCCGTTTTCATACTTAACGTGTTTGGCCAAACTTCTAAAATTAAACTTATTTTGAGAAGTGCTTTTTATAAAAATACTTTTCAAAAAAATATTTTTGATGAGAAGCAATTTGCGTTTGACTAATTAATTTGAAAAGTACTTTAGAGAAATAATTAGTATTTGGCCAAACTTTTAAAAATTACTCCTAAAAATTGACGCCAAACAGGCTATTAGCCTACCATATAGATCTACCGTTCTCCCTACGATTAGGTATATAACCAGAGGCAGATCTAGTAACAATAACAATAACAACAAATTCAGTTTGATCCCATAAATGGGGTCTGGTGAGAGTGTGTACGGAGACCTTACTCCTACCTCATAGATATATAGAAGTTGTTTCTGATATCTCTTCCTTTGAGTAAATAACGCAACATTCAACCAATTGCACCATTCAACATTTTTGGAGTATGGGGGGTCAATAAATAATATTATATCAGTTCTTGAAAATTTGTATATAAAATACATAATTTGACAGAAAGAACATGGATTCACGTGCACTGAAATTTACCCTAAATCCGCCCTGTATATAACATGTACACTACTTCAATTAGAGTGACAAAAATATAGCTTTAACATTTCTTACATGCACTACCAACGGGTATAATGAGATGATTGATAGGATTTCGATCTCTTAACTAGCCTTAATAAAGAAATTTTTAGTTAACTCTACTTTGAGACTGATATTGCATCTTATCATATTTAACTTTATTTTGCATCACAAACTATAGGTTTTTAACTTTATTTTGCATCACAAACTATAGGTTTTTAACTTTATTTTGCATCACAAACTATAGGTTTTGATCTTTTTACAGGGTTCTCTTATCTTTTTTTTTTTTTTTTTTTTTTTTTTTTTTTTTTTACTTATCAGGTTCAGGGTTACATCCACCCAATTTCTTTTTAAAAAAAAAACAAAATCTGTCTGTCTCCACCTTAATTATTCGAGTTGTATGCGCACAGATAATGTCGCTAGTACATGGGGGAGTAATTAATTATTTGCTTGATTTTTATATTATGTTTAGTACTATGTCTATATGGTATCAGAAAGAAATTTATAACTTTATACTTGCTAGGAATAAAATTGGTGAACAATGTATATGACAGTTTGGGCACTAGTAACCTAATCTGATTTTGTCCATTTTCTATTCATTTTTTTCAGTACACATTCACCAACTTTCTCCTTTGTTTTTTTTCTTCTTTGTTTTTTTATGGAATATTTTGGCAAATGAGGATGCAATCAAGTCATTTGATAATGACTTTCTAATTTATTTTTTTCTGACCTTTTTTTTTTGGTTTGAACTGGTGAATATGTAGTGTATTAAGAGCAGGTAAAAAATGGACGGTGTTGGAAAAATTAAAGCATTTAACCTAAGTAAAATGTGATGAAATTGCAAAGTCTCCGACTTTCTAGTTTACTACAACAAAATTGTTTGGTTGCTCTTTTAATGTCACCTTCTAGAACGCATTTAATATGTATCAGTTGCCATAGTTTATAGGACAACAAAATAAACGATAAAAAATAGGCATTACAGGCATGCATAAGATACTGAATCTAACAAATAATTCTGTATCTGAACATTATGCATGCAACTATTAAAAATATTACCACCCGTGCAAGTGTTGGTCACGTTATTTGGACCTTTGTTGCATACATATAATTTCATTAATTTAGTGCATGAGGAGAATCTGGACTTATAAAAGAAGAAGATATATATATATATATATATATATATATATATGAAATAAATTGAGATAGTAGTTAATAACAACAACCCAGTATAATCTCATTAGTGGGGTTTAGGGAGGGTAGTTTGTACGCAGACCTTACCCCGACCCTGGGATAGAGAGGCTGTTTCCGATAGATCCTCGGCTCCCTCCCTCCAAGAACTCCCCACCTTGGTCTTGGGGTGACTCAAACTCACAACCTTTTGGTTAGAAGTGGAGGGTGCTTACCACTAAAGCAACTCACTCTTGACATAGTAGTTAACCTATTGGAGAAAAAAAATAAGGAACCTTGAAACAATAATATTGAAGATCTCCGGTCTGTTCTAATTTTAGAAAATTAGAGGAGTTCCCCCAACTCGTCTTGTTGGGCTAAAACGGTCCAAAAATACTCAAGAAAATGATCCTCTATAG